CGAACCCGTGTCCCCTGCATCGGCAGGCGGACTCTCAACCACTGCGCCACCAGGGAAGCCCGGGCGGGTTTCTTGATAAACCTGAGTTCAAATCCCTGCCCTGCCCCCAGCCAGCTGCCGGGGTGGAGCTGCCCATGAGAGCAGAGTGTACAGATGCCGTCCTGGTGCCATGTTCAGTGACATCACACGTTCAGTGATGTCCAGAGGTGTTTGACACTTTGAAGCCTTTTCTCTGCTTCAGATCAGCCGTGCTGGGAGTCTTCACCCCACAGAGGTCCACAGACACCCCAAAGCAGAGCACCCTCTCTTGTAGAGCTGGTTGTTGATCTTTACCAGCACACCACTAGACTTTGGGCAAGTTACAAAGTTTTCACATCTGTAAAATGGGGATGATGGTAATGATGATGACGATGGTAATGCCTCTGTGGTTGGGATACAGGTTTGAATCAGTGTAAATATACCGCAAATAATGAGGATTTAAACAATGTACAAGTTTATTTCTCTCTCCTGTGAAAGTCTGAGCAGTTACCTCTGTTTCTGTCGCCTTTCCCTAGGGCTCATTCACCTTTCTGCACATCACAGCATCGGTTCGCTCAGCCTCTGCTCTGACTCTCCTTGTCCCCAGTTTGGGGAGACTCTTCTCTTCTGGGGCATAAGGCTGTGCTGTGACTCCCTGTGCTTCCCTCTGCCCTGAATCCAGAGGTGTTTCATACTTTGAAGCCTTTTCTCTGCTTCTTAGAAAACATCCCTTTCCTGACGCAACGAGGTCAAAATGATGAAATGAAAGGAAGGGGTGTATGTGGGGGTTTTTGAGGGGGAGCATTGGTTAATATGTTAAAATAACATCCTTCTGCATCAGGAGCTGGGAGGTGGAGTCACAGAGTGACCGACCGCAAAGGCCCCAGCGATGAGGATGCCGACAACGATGATAATAACAGTTGTGACAGTAGCAAGTGCAGGCAGTGCTGTAAGAACGCCAAACAGATGGAGCTAGAGCATGTATCATTCACTGAATCCTTATGACAACCCTAAGAGTGGGTACATCATTATGCCCATTTATCAGATGAGGAAATCGAGGCTCAGGGATGACAGGGACGTGTCCAGACTCAGAGAGCTAGTACATGGTGAAGCCACCGCTCCACCTGCTCACAGAGGAGACACTGAGACCCGGAGAGGAAGGTGACACAGCAGGTGCGTGGAGGGCCTGAGGGGCCCTGGGACCCACCCGCTGCCCCTTCTGAGCACTGCTTCACCCCAAGCATCCCCCGCTAACCCTTCAAGGCACTTATTTAGATTCGTGGGTCACCCCTCACACCACCATCAAAAAAAAAAAAACCCTGTCTTCAGAAAGCACATAATGTTTCCTGCAGGACGTACTTCAAATTAAAGAAGACAGTCATCTAGTGGCGTTTGAGTATTTCCTTTTCTTTCAGTACAAAGCTCAGCCTCCCTGGATGAACCTGGGCTGCCTCCCCGGTGGTCTGCTCTTAGCCTTGGCGGCTTTTCCTCAATTCCCTGCCTCCCTACCTACCCCACTCTCCCTTCCCTCCCTTCTGACATTCTTTGGGATACTTTGTGCCATCGCTGTGCTAGACCCTGAGACTACAAGTGGAGAAGGAGATAAACTCCATCCTTCTTCTCTCTGAGTTTAAAATGTTTGTGGGGAGACCAATGATTAAACAGATTGAAAACCAGTAGTAGTGCTACTCTGTTCTGAGACCTCCCTCTGTGCCAGGTCCTGGGCTTCTGACCTCACAACAACCAGTGGGGCGGCAGTAGCTGTCCTACGGTCATTCCTACCACCACTGTCCTGGCCATGGCCACGCAGAAAACTCAGGGTCATAGAGATTCAGAGCGGGTGAGCTGTCCATTCATAATAGAACTGGGCTCAGCCACGATCCCGCCTCACTGCAGGGCCCAAGGTCTCAGTTGTGCCCAAAGCATCCTCTTGTCCTCACGTGTTTTCTGCCAGGAAGCACGGGGGTTAGGGGGACAAAGGGTCACAGGCGTTGCCGTAACCAAGCGTTAGCCACTCACTAGACAGCTGCCAGGACCCTGCAGACCGTTTATTTTCATTGGCGAACCTGGTGGAGAGGGCTGCATTTGTGCAAGGAACCAGCTCTTCCCAGAACGGCCACACAGCACAGCAGAAAGACAGGTAGACCTGGGCTGGATCCCAGCTCCCTCTCTGAGAGGCGAGCACGTCCTGTGACTTTCAAGATGCAGCTCCAGCATCGCTTCCTCCTGTGAAGCCTCTGCTGGTCCCGACACAAGTGAATCTCAACCCTGGCTGTACACTGTGATCACCGGGCAACTTGAAACTCCCCTGGTGACTTCAGGGGGCCTCCACATGGAGAACCACTGGCTAGACCAGAGGTTAAATCTACTATCTCCCGGAAGCCAAGTCCAGGCCACCACCTGCTGTACATAATCATCTATTAAACAATGTGCCCTGGGCTTCCCTGGTGGCGCAGTGGTTGAGAGTCCGCCTGCTGATTCAGGGGACACGGGTTTGTGCCCCGGTCCGGGAAGATCCCACATGCCGCGGAGCGGCTGGGCCCGTGAGCCATGGCCGCTGAGCCTGCGCGTCCGGAGCCTGTGCTCCACAACAGGAGAGGCCACAACAGTGAGAGGCCCGAGTACTGCAAAAAAAAAAAACAACAAACAAACAAAAACCCCCAATGAGCCCATTTGTTTGCATATTGTCTGTGGCTGCTTTTTAACTGCAAAAAAAAAAAAAAAAATCAGATTACAAAAAATCTGTTTAATTTGAGGCTATTTATGTAAAAAAAAGTATTAATTCTGAAACCCTAAACTACTATCTGTGGTGATCTCCCTTCATGGAGGTTTAATTATAGGGGGACTTTTGCTCTGTCTATAGGGTTGGATTTTTTTTGTTTTTTTTTCCGGTACGCGGGCCTCTCACTCTTGTGGCCTCTCCTGTTGCGGAGCACAGGCTCCGGACATGCAGGCTCAGTGGCCATGGCTCATGGGCACAGCCGCTCCGCGGCATGTGGGATCCTCCCGGACTGGGGCACGAACCCGTGTCCCCTGCATCGGCAGGCAGACTCTCAACAACTGCACCACCAGGGAAGCCCATAGGGTTGTATATTTTTAAACAAGCCTGTGCTATAAGGAAACTAACAAGGATGTTTCCACTAAAAAACAAAAATCAAAAAAACAACCAAACAAACAAACAAAAATACATCTTCCCTTATACTGAACCTCCCTTGAACCTTCCTACAGCGTCAGTTATCTATAGGGTATCTGCCTTCCTATAGCATCTACACTCAGGCCTTTGTTCTGCCATCTGGGGCTCCCTAGGCCACAGAAGGTCCTTGTTAATAAGATCTGTGTTCAGAGTTTGTCTCCTGGGAAACACAGGCCTATAGCCCCTGGTACAGACATTATCGTAGGCAATCCCGAAGTGTGTTATTTAATGCATGGGATTTTCTAACTCGTGTGCATGCTTGACTTCCTACTTGACTAGAAGCTCTTTGAGGGCAGAGACTATGAAGTAGACATTTCCACCCTCTACAGCATCTGGTACAAACTACACAGAGCAGGGCCTCAGGAAATCCCTGCTGAATGCGTGAATGAACAATGTTAGGAGACCCAAATTATCATTGCATGAGTATTTCTACTGGGGGCATTTCTGGCATTGCTTGCTTGTCAGTCACCGCCTGCCCCACGTCTCCTCTAGCCCCAAGCTTCTGGACACAGCTATGCAACTAGGAATAAGAGGTGATGGGAAGAGTCAGAAAACAGCGGTGGGGCATTTGCTTTGGAAAGAATTGAGACATCCTTGTGTGAGAGAAAAGAGGAGAGCAGTGGAAAGAAGAGGAGGGTGGGGAAGAGGGAAGACTCCATGCTGGGGGCACTGGAGAGAGCGTAGGGGGCACTGAAAGTGAGATGTGAGTTGAGAGAGGTTCTAGGACGGCTGCAAGGCAAGTAAAAGCAAAGCAAGGAATAGAGGGCCGATGTCAAGGTGCAGGGCCACAGATAAGGAATTGGGGGTGCTTTCGGTGTTCTTTAGGACATACAGTAATGGTTGGAATTGTTTCTACGTTGGAGGCATAGGTTATGCTTGTCTAAAGGTGAGGCACGTGTGGACCGGACCTCGTAGAGCTCTGGAATGTGTTTGGGTTACACATGGATGAGTGCCGTGTGGGACTGTGGCCCTGCCCATTCTCTGGCTCAGTCATCGGTGGGATGGGGGTGAGGGTCTAGGTCTGGAGCTGTGTTGGAGAATCTGCAACTGCTTTCGCTCTGACCCTTCCTCTGCTCTGTGCTTGTCATCCCGTCCCCGGCCAGGCCAGCAGAGACAGCTCCCTCTGGAACTGCAGTGATTTTGAGATGCCAGAGGAGAAATTCTCACAGTTGTTGGTGGGAAGGAGTGCTGTGGCAGAGGTCAGAAGACCAGGGCTTTGTTTCTATGTAGAAATGTCTTTAGGGAATGTTTTGATTTAGTTAAAGAAAGTGACGCAGCTAATAAAAGTCCTTTGCCCCCAAATCAGGAAATAGGGATAAGTTCAAAAAGAAGGTTTTAGATTTAATCCGCTATATTCTCATCATCTGGGGTTAATCACCACTAACCCTTTGGTATATGTTGTGGCAAGTAATGTTTTGTGCATATTCGTGTGTAATTTTTAAGCAAATCAAACTGTACACATTCTCGTGTCATATGCTATTTGCCTGTGATTGAACATCTTTTTGTGAGATCACGTAGGTTTGCATCCCTGTTCCGCCTCTAATTTATCAGCTGCGTGGCACCTGATTGGCCACATCACCTTTCAATACCTCAGTTTCTTCATCAATAAAATGGAAACATAACGATGCCCATCTCACAGGGCCGTGGGAAGGATCCCGTGGGACGATGGGCCACTGTTGCTTCCCAAAATGTTCCCCAGAGGGGCGGGGCTGCACTTTTCCAGGTCCCGGGTCTCTGCCGGCTCAGCCTGCTTTTTCTTACACCGGCTTTTGGCTTCTTTTCTTTCCAGGATGGAGAAGGGGGATGGGCACGAGGAGGACTTTCGCTTGGATTGCCGCCACGAGAGATACCCTGCCCGTAAGTGGCCTCACCTGCAGGAGCCAGTGCTGCAGATTCGTGAGCCGTCTGAGAAGAGAGGACCCTGGAGATGGGCCAGGCCAACCTCTCCCTGCCCCCCTGCATTCTCCCCCCGACACATACTGCAGATGGCGAAACTGAGGCTGGGGTCTTAGCAGAGCAAGTCTTCCGCACATGGCAGCCACGGCCCTTGCAATGGGGTCGGAATGCTAAGGGAGCAAGAGGGACACGGGGGTGCCTTAAAGACAGGCAGGCGAACCACAGCTCCATCCAGGCCGGGGTTAGCCATTGGCTGGAAGGGACAACGGCTCCGGGGCAGAGCTAGCCAAGTCAGGGAGGTGATAGCTCACAAGATCTGTCTGAGCAGTGGATACTTGTGGTAGCTCAGAATGCACTGACTTCATATGCCTCACTGTGGGGGTCAGAGTCTAGGGCTCCTATTCAGAAAGCAAATGTCTGGACCAGAAAGCAAAGGGGAGGTCAAAGGAGAGAAAGGCCTTGCTCTGCACAGAAAAGAAAGGAGCTGAGACAAAAATGGCAGAATCTCATCCGAGCCTGCTGAATGCCCACCCCGTGCTCCCTGCCCACCCCACTCTGTACTAAGGGCTTTTTATACCTGATCTCATGTTCTTGCTGACCACCAACCCCTACAGCCGGGATTACTAAGCACACTTTGCAGAAATGAGGGCTCAGAGAGGTGGAGCAACTTGCCTAAGGTCACACAGCTAGTCAGTAGCAGAGCCCTTAGAGCAGGTGCTGTCTGTGCCCTGCCTGTATCTCTCAGACCTTTTAGGAAGCTACGGTGCCTCCCAGCTGCCAGTATTTGCATCTCTGTGCCTGGGGGCTTGCCCCACCTCCACCCACAGAAGGCAGGAAGTGCCAGGGAAGCTGGCATATAGATACCCTGACTCCCTCGCCCCTTGAGTGGTATCGCCCCGAGGTGTGTGATTTGCAGGATTAGCCAGGTTTACCAGGTCTAGCAGCTGCCTGGGTTGGCCGCCTTCCCTCCCCTGGACCACATCCCCGCCTCTGTCAAGTTTCCCTGCATCTTTGTAGTGTCACCCCTTTGCTCCAATTCCTATCTCAGGGTTTGCTTCTGGGGAATCTGAACTAAGACAGCAGAGATTTAAACGCAGATTTGTCTGCCCCCAACCTCTGGGATCCTAGTAACGGAGTGAGAAATGGCTCTGCTGAGAGGAGAAGATGGAGGCGGGTGAAGGAGTCTGGGAGGAGGCCTGGCTGGAGAGGAGGAGAGGGTCTGGTCTTCACACTGAGGGAAGAGGCTCCTGTAGGAGACACCAGCCCAGGAAGATGTCCAGAATGCTAACTGCCTACCCGAGGAACTGGGGTGGATGCTGGGCCCACAGACTGTGGCTTCATGGCAGGTGTCAGGGTGGGGGGCTTCCTGGAGGAAGGGGTCAGGAGCCAGGGCATGGAGGAGGCTGGGGAGCACCTGCCTCAGGGATAACAGAAGACAGCAGGAATCCACCAGAGGGGTTCAGGAAGCACACGGTAGGGACACAGGCTGAGAGCCCTGGCATGTTCCAGCGGGCCACCGGCTCCCCTGCTTGGGCCAGAGCCCCCTGAGGCCCCTGCAGAGTGGGCAGGAAGCTCTGGGTGGAAAGGGGTCGTTGGGCTTGTCTTGGGGGCAGCTAGGGAGCTGGGAGGAGGAAAGGCCAGATCCCTGAGGGCTGAGGATGGAAGAAAGAGTCCAGAGAGCAAATCTGGCCCTGAAAGCGAGCCCCGGGATGGAAGGTGAGGACAGCAGAAGCCCTGCACCCCCAACCCAGCCCCTCGCCTCTGTCCTGGCATCCACTTCACCTCCCAAGCATCACATGCATTCCCCAGGTCAACAGCCTGCAGAGAATTCCACCTTTCGTGCCCTCGGCAAACACTGAGCGGTGCAGACCCTCTGTGCTGGCACTGGAGATGCAGCCGGGAGCCAGAGCAGGCAAAGCTCCTGCCTTGCGGGGTGGGAGTCCAGAGGGAGGGAGAATCAAGAAAGAAGTGAACTCAGAAACAAGCATGGTGATCTCAAGTGCAAGGAACGTGATGATAAAGGGGGATCGGGGGAGGCCTCTTTAGAGCCACCTCTTTGAGGGGCCGCTGGAGCTGGGGCCTAAGGAAATAGAAGGAGTCAGTCAAACAAAGAGCCTTCCAGGCAGAGGGGCCTGCAGGTGCCAAGTCTCCACAGCAGCCAGCACTGGAGGCCACGTGGCCGGAGCAGGGAAGTGGTGGGGGTTGGGGATTGGGATGCGGGAGGAGACGGGGCTGGGGTGCCCAGGAGGCAGGACCATGGGAAAGAGCTGGCTCTGCAGTGGTGGGGGGAGGGGCATTGTGAGCACAGAAGAGACTCGCCCAGATTATTTATCTGTATCTATAGCTGTATCTATATCTGTGTCTACATCATTTTTACCTATATCCGCATCTATCCATCCCTCCTTCCATCCATCTGCAATGTGGGAAAAGGATGGGAGGGGAGGAAGAGTAGAGGCCAGCAGACCAGCTTAGATGCTGTCCCCTCATCCCCCGGAGTGACAGTGGCCTGACCTGTGTCAACAGAGATAAAAGTGGGAGGATACAAGAATTTTTTGCCGGAAGAGTCGTCTGAGTGCTTTGTGCTCCTGTGGAAGCAGATCCTGAGATAAGGACCCAACAGCAAGCACCTTATTTGGGTGATCCCAGAAAATACAATAGGTGCTGGGGAGGCAGACTAAGCAGGGAAAGGCCGGCAGGTGGAAGCCGTGCTCCAGGCTGGTTATCACTGTAGGCCCTGCTGGGTGACTTGGGGAGCCAGTGCAGAGCACACGGTCTGAGTTATTCCCCCCAGACATGACAGTAGCTCTCCTCAGGCGTTGCTCGAAGGCTGCTGGGGTAGGGTGGGGTGCATGAATTCTCCTGGGGTGGGTGGAGAAAGCTCTGGCGCCGTAGGAGGTCAACTGCCTGCTCCACTGGGAGGGAGGGCGCACCCACAGCATCAGCTTGTGTGACTTGAGGTGACGGATGGAGGCGGCCAGGAACCTAAGATACGCACAGAACTTTCAGGCCAGCAATCAAGGGCCAGATGTCACCCACTGATGGACCTGGAGAGGACGAGTTTGAGGGGCGTGTAGGGTTGAGAACAGAGATAGTTGAAGCTGGGGGACTTTTGAGACCGTCGAGGGAGATTGTGTGGGGTGGGGAGAGATGGAGAAGCCACGAGGCCCTAACACCCTGGGGCTCAAAGAGAAGCATGGAAGCCGGTGGGGAAGGGACTGTGGCTCCCACAGGTTTTCCAGGTCCCAGCCTCTCGGGGAAGAAAGGAACCTCAGAGTCCCCAGCACCTCTGCCATGTGTGCCTTTCATCAGGTAGCCGAGTTATCCGGATGGCTGTCTTTCCCCAGGGACCAGCGGAGGCGCTGGGGTCTCAGAGTCACAACAGTGAGGAAGAGGTAGACCCCATCTGCTGTCGGAGCTGACGGGGAGGCACCCGAATGTGGGCTGGGCACACCCCATCTGCCAGACCCCAGGCAGCGTTTGGGGATGCGGGGCCCAGCCACCTGTGGACTGGGTCCTCACATGGTTCATGGGCTGGAGAGCAGCCTGATCGTCTAGGGAAATGACACCGTCTCCAGAATGCGGCCTCTTAGCTGCTAGTGGGATTTTGGCCAAGAAAATGTTTTGGAAAGTCCTGGACAAGTTTTGCAATATTTCTCTACTGAGCAACTGCTCAGATCTGGTTGGTGTACTGACTTGCCAGCAGGACGCACGGGGGAGGAGGAGTGCCAGGGAGCCTGCATTATTAAGCCCTTACTGTGTGCAGGTCCCGCTCAGCACTTCACAGCCGTCTCATCTGACAGCTGGCACAGCCCTGGGAAGGAGGGTTGATTGTTGTTATTGTGTAGACTGAGAGGCTGAGGCTCTGAGACGCAGATTGACTTTGTTGAGATCTCTGGCCCCCCGGGGAAGTACAACTCAGCTTGGCGTGTAGATCTCTCCCATTATCCTGGAACCAGGCCGTTCCTGCTCTGGTCCCCAAACTCTCCACCTCATTTCTTCCCACTCTCCCCTCCCTCATTCTGCTCCAGCCACCCTGGCCTTTCTCTTTCTTGAACATACAGAACTCATTCACTCCACAGGATCTCTGCACGTGCTCTTGTCTCCACCTGAAAAGCTCTCCCTCTAAATCTTTGCATGGCTGGCTTTGTCTCCTCTTTTTTTTTAAAAAAAAAAAATTAATTTATTTATTTTTGGCTGTGTTGGATCTTTGTTGCTGCACGTGGGCTTTCTCTAGTTGTGGCGAGCAGGGGCTACTCTTCATGGCGGCGTGCGGGCTTCTCATTGTGGTGGCTTCTCTTGTTGCAGAGCACAGGCTCTAGGCGCATGGGCTTCAGTAGTTGTGGCTCGCGGGCTCTAGAGTGCAGGCTCAGTAGTCATGGTGCACGGGCTTAGTTGTTCTGTGGCATGTGGGGTCTTCCCGGACCAGGGCTTGAACCCGTGTCCCCTGCATTGGCAGGCAGATTCTTAACCACTGTGCCACCAGGGAAGTCCCTTGTCTCCTCTTTAAGCTTCTCTTCAGAGAAGCTCCCCTAACCTGCACCAGCTTCCCCAGTCGACCTCATATCACTGTGTTTTCTTTTCTTCATCGTATCTGTACCTCTCTGACATTATACTTACATACCTGGTTTCTGTTTTGTTGCCTTTCTCCGCTGGGTTCCATGAGATTAGGCACCCTGTCTTTTGTTTTGTTCACGCCTGTATCCTGAGAGCCTAAAACAGTGGGTGGCACACAGTAGGTGCTGAATTGCCTCTCTAAACTTCTCATTTTCTCCCACCATATCCCACCCGAGAAGCCACTTTTACATAAACAGTTACATGAACTTTTGGTTATCTTAACTGTTCCAAAAGTTGCTATTTTTTCTTGGGCTGCTGTGATACAGATTCTGCCACATTTTTTTCTTTTTTCTTCCTGAGGAAAGAGTTTGCCTTTGAAACCTGCCTTTGGGGCTTTGCAGTGCCAC